GGCGGCGGGGGAGGAGGAAGAGGAGGAGGAGGAGGAGGAGGTAGATATGGGCGACAAGGGCGATGCCGAGGATCAGGTGGCAGAAGTGGAAGGGGGTCGCCACCCAAGCGACGCGGTTTCAAAGTGAGACCGCCGCTATGTCGTGCTTCGTTCTCAGAGGCTGCGGCGTGTACGCTTTCGCATAAATATATACGGATGGATAAGCATACTCACCTCCAAACTTCAGACTTTCGATGCGTTTTGTTGTTGTTGTTGTTGCTGTTGTTGTTGTTGTTGTTGTTGTTGTTGTTGTTGTTGTTGTTGTTGTTGTTGTTGTTGTTATTGTTGTTAGTTTCTGTCTTTGGTCTGGTATAAATATATACATATAAACGATGTTTTCTCAATTTGTTTATTTAGTTAATAATAATTGTAAGAGCAACATGTGCGGGCCCCAAACGTCTCGGTCCCTTCCCCAAAGACATTCTTTTTCTGGAGCCATAGCGCTGAGTCGACTGGACCGCCAGGACTGAAACAAATGCAGTGCGCGCGACGGCTGGGTCCTGGGCCCCGCCGCTCCTCCTGGAGAAATCTCCCAAATGCACAAACAGAAGTTTCTGAGGTCCGCACGGACTTCTGGGATCGGCGCTGGACCTCCCTTCCCTGGCGCGCGATGCCCGCCAAGGGCGGCGCTGGAGGCGCCGGCGCCAAGCGCCGATGCAAGATATCCGCGCGGACCTCCGACAATTTGTCCCTCACCCGACAAGATGGGGCTGTTAGACCTGGCCCGGCACAGAAACGGAAAGAGCGCTTCAGAAACAGAAGTCGAAATTACTCACACCACCGTTCGTACTAGGAGCCTTGGCGTTGAGAGCTTGTTACGTCACCCCTCGCTCTTGGGAGCCTTGGTGTTCAGAGATTGTAGCGTTGCCGCCCGTTCCTGAGCCTTGGCTGGGCCTTGGTGTCAGGAACTTGTTACGTCACCACTCTCTGCTGGGAGCCTTGGTCTTATCAGCTTGTTTACGTCACCGTTCGCTCTTGGGAGCCTTGGTGTGAAGAGCTTTTTGCGTTACCGATCGCTCTCTATTTGGCGTCTCTGGGCCTTCCTGGGGGTCCTATTGGGGCCCTTGTCGGGCCCTTTGGAGGCCTCTTGGGAACCTCTTGGGGGCCTCTTGGGGCTTCTTGGGGGGCTCTGGGGGCCTCCTGGGAGCGTCTTGGGGCGAAAGGCTAGACTTTTCGGTTCGTGGTCCCCTCTGGGGGCCTCCTGGGAGCGTCTTGGGGCGAAAGGCTAGAATGGCGCCCTCTTGGGCCGTCTTGAGCGCCTCTTGGGCCGTCTTGGGGCCCTCTTGGGCCGTTTTGGGGGCCTCTTGGGAGCCTCTTGGGCCGTCTTGGGGCGGTCTTGGGGGCCTCTTGGGCCGTCGTCAACGCCGTGAAAGCCGACAAAGCGCATATGCTAAAAATATACGTTTCCTATGGAAAATCGATGATTTCGGCCTCTTGGGGCCCTCTTGGGACGCCCCTTGGGCGCCTCTTGGGGGCCTCTTGGGGGCCTCTTGGGCCGTCTTGGGCTCTCTTGGGCCGTCTTGGGGGGGAACCCGAAAAACATGCAAAAACCACAGGGAAAACCCGAAAACGGCCATTCACACGCAAATGTGCGCGCTACCCCCCTCCCCTGGAACCCCTCCCTTTAGGGCTTCGCCCACACCAGAACGTCATCACTCGTTCCTCGCTCTTTCCGTTACCTGCTTGGCACGGGGACGGAAAGCGCAATTACTTTCGGAGCGCGAGATGTCGCTGGCTTGCCCGTTCTTTCTCTCTGTCTCCCCGTCTGGAGGCTCTCTTGGGGCATCTTGGTGGCATCTTGGGCGCCTTCTAGGGCTATCTCGAAGCTGCAGGAGGCCTCTTGAGGGGGAACCAGGGCGTGTTGGTATCTTGGAGAGAGCGTGATCCACCGCCGCTTTACTGTGGAAAATTGCCAACCTTTTCCTCTGGAGCCCGGGGGTCGCCCCCCCCCTCCCCTCCGATTCCCCCCCCCCCTCCCCTAACCCCTCCCCCCCCCCCCTCCTCCCCGGCAACCCCCCCCCCCCTAACCCCTCCCCCCACCCCTCCCCCGCGAAACCGGGGGGGTCACTACCGGTTCGAACCCTTCCCCCCCCCCCCCGCCCTCCGGATCCGGAAAACCGGGGGGGTCACTACCGGTTCGAACCCCCCCCCCCCTCGAAAACCGGAGGGGGGTCACTACCGGTTCGACCCCCCCCCCCCCACGCACCGCCAGCAAACGACTCCCGGTCCCTACCACCGTCCGCATCACATCCCCCACTGTTGTTCCCAGCACCACTGTCCTCACCACCACTGTCCCCACTGGTTCCACCACCGTCCCTACTGTCCCCACCAGTGCCCCCACCACTGTCGCACTGTCCCCACTGTCCCCACCACTGTTCCCACCACGGTTCCACTCTCCCCACTGTCTCCACGGCCCCAACCACTGCCCGACTATCCCCACTGTCCCCACTGTCCCACTGACTCCTCCGCTGTCCCACTGAGCTGTCCCACTGTTCCCACCACTGTCCCCACTGTCCCCACCACTGTCCCCACTGTACCTCTGTCCCATTGTCCCACCGCCGTCCTCGCCACCGCCTTCACCACTGTCCCCACCACCATTGTACCCTCCACTGTCCCACTGTTTCCACCTCATTCCCATTGTCCCCACACCACTGTCCCCACCACCACCGTCACCACCACTGTCCACTGTCCCCCCCTGTTCCCACCATTGTCCCCACCACTGTCCCCACCACTACCGTCCCCACCACTGTCCCACTGTCCCACTGTCCCCACCACTGTCCCCACCACTGTCCCGCCATCCCCTCACCACTGTCCCCACCAACACCGTCCCCACCACTGTCCGCACCCCCACTCGGTTTTCGAGGGGGGGGGGGGTTCGAACCGGTAGTGACCCCCCCCGGTTTTCGAGGGGGGGGGGGGTTCGAACCGGTAGTGACCCCCCCCCCCCTTTTCATGATGAACTGGGGGGGGGGGGAGGGGTTCGAACCGGTAGTGACCCCCCCCGGTTTTCCGGAGGGGGGGGGGAGGGGTTCGAACCGGTAGTGACCCCCCCCGGTTTTCCGCCAGCAGCGGTAGAACACGCTCTTTCGTATCTTGGGAAGGCACTAGAGCGCGATAAATCACGACTGAAGATTAGGATCATACTGTTGATGATGATGATGATGATGATGATGATGATGATGATGATGATGATGATGATGATGATGATGACGACGACATACTGTCTCTTGGGAGCATCTTGGGCGTCTCCCAGGCCCTCCTTGGGCCGTCTTGTGGCTCCCTCAGGCCCTCTTGGGGCCCTTCTGGGCCGTTCTCAGGCTCTCTTGGGAGCCTCTCGGGCCGTCATGTCACAATCTCGGGGGGCTCTGGAGCTGTATTGGGCCGTTCTTGCCCGAAAAGGCGAGGAGCTGGAAAACCTTCGTAAACCTACAGGCAACAATGGTTTATTCGTCCTCCAGCACTTTTGGGGGTCCTCACGGGTGCCGCTTGGGGTGTCTTGGAGGCCTCTTGGGCTGTGCTGAGGCCATCTTGAGCTATCTTGGATCGCTCTTGGGCCGTCTTCGGTCCCGTCTGGGCCTCTCTCACGCTGTCTTGGAGATGCCTTAAGCTGGCGAGGAGCTTGTGGAAATAAATCTTTGCCCGAATGATCTAAGTGCGCGAAGGTGCACTTATCCGGCATGTACTATCATGGGGTTCATCGCATGCCCGAATGCATGCTGGAGGTGCCTTAAGTGGCGCGAGTGATCTTTGCCTGTCGGAGCCCTCTTGGGAAGCCTCTTGGAGCCCTCTTGGGCCGTCTCGGACCCCTCTTGGACGGTCTGGAGGCCATCTGAGGCGCCATCATGGAACGCTCTTGGACGGTCTTGGGGTCTCTTAGAGCGCTCTTGCGCCCTCTTGGAGCCCTCTTGGGCTCCTCTTCGGCCCCTCTTGGGCCGTCTTGGGCGCTTCTTGGGCCGTCTTGGGTGCCTCTTGGGCCGTCTCGGGGGGGGGGGGCTGGCCATTGGACCGTCACCCGACTTTCCCTGTTAAGTTCCTGTTAAGGGCTCCGTTAACAGGGAAAAGGGTGCCCGAGCGTGCAACCCTGTCAAGCACCCGATTTTCCATGTTAAAGGCTCCGTTAACAAGGAAAAGAGGTGCCCGCGAACGTGCAATTTCACTGTTAACGGTCCGTTAACAGGGAAACGGGCGGGCCAGGAAAGCCCCCGATTTTCCCTGTTAAGGGCTCCGTTAACAAGGAAAAGTGCGGGCCAGTAGACCCTGCAATGCAGATGCCACCCCCCTCAAACTCCCCCTAGTTCCATTTCTTCCGACTAACGGATCGCACGCTACGCGCGCTTTCCGTCATCAAACAAAAAGACTCCCGACCTGCCTCGTACACCCCGCATGCCGCGGCCGACAGGCCCAAAGTGTGCTGGGGCCCAGCGCTGATCCAGGAAGCCCGCGCAGACTTCCGAATCATGTGTGCTGATGGCGTTATTTTGCCTCGATGGGGTCCCCACCCAAGACCGCGAGGCGAGCTACCCAGGGAGCACTGGCACACTCAGACGCGGCATGCAGTCGTCAGCCGTCGAAGGTACGAGCTCGTCGCGCCAGGGGAGGGGGGTGTCCATCGCCGTCCAGGCAAAATCCGTGCGGCCTTCCGAAACTTTGACGCTGATGCTCTTGCTTGTCCTTCCAGCTCCGTGGTTCTGGGGCGCGAAGATGATCGCGCTGCGCACTTCGCTGTCCATTGACTGACAAATCCCCCCCTGGGCGGTTTTCCCCTCGACTTCTGGGCGCACTCAATCTTTTATCAGCACGTCGAATTAATCCCAACGAAACAACCGTAAGCGTGCGAAGCTAACCCGGAATCTTCGGAGGCATCGATGGAGAATGTCAAGGGGTGGGGCTGTTAGATCTACAGAATAGAACTCCCGACCCCCTTCGCTGCGGGCGATTATGCTTCTTCGACCCCGGGACGCCTGCGGAGGTCCTCCTCCGCGGTGCGCCGGAGCTCCGCGGCCACCTCTCCCGGCGCGCGCGGGGCCAGCCGCTGCCCCGCCGTGTCTCCGTCCATCGGCCCCCGCCTTGCCGCTGGCCGCCGCTGCAAGGGAAGAGGAGGGGTGAGGGGGGGACGGGGGGGGAGGGAGGGGGCATCGGATCGACTCGGCAGGAAAACGCGTCGAGCCCTGCAACGCCGCCTGGCCCCGCCGCCCCCTTTCCGGGAGGACACAAGTGTGGAGCCTAGGGCCCCACGGCAGTGGTGGCAATGTTTATATCCCGTCCTGCCCGGCGGACAAAAAGCGCCCAGGCCCCAACCATCCACCCTGGCTGGGGGGCTCAAATTTGAACACCGCTAAATCTGCAAATAAATCGCGTCCCCCACCGCTCCAATATACCCACTCCCAGTCCCGTCAACGCGACGCCTTGTTATGCAATTTAGGCATACGTGGCTGCAACAGGCACCGAAGGAGATCTCGGTGATGAGTCGAGGACATCGATCAAAGACCTGTCGCCAGGAAAAAAGCGGAAGATACTGCGTGACTGTCGCTGGCGACCTGCATGAGAGTGTCGAACGGGGGCTCGCGAGAAAGCCCTCGAACTGAGACCCTCTAGGAGAAAGGCGGATGCTTGAATTGATAAGAGACTGTCGCCGACAAGCGCCTCATTCTGTTTGCCTGCCTCTTTGGCGCCAACCAGAGACGGGTCGAGCGTAGTGTCCTCGAGCGGCCCTCGAAGCTGCGATTGCCTTCCGTCGAGAGTTCCTGGGAGGTCTGTCCTTGCACTTAAATAGGTGCTCTCGATGTGGCCCCCCTCGACCACTTAAAAGAAGCTGAATGTCCCCAAAGCCCCTCCCATCTAAGTCACTTCCCGATGCCCCTTGTCTGGCTCATGGCAGTATGCGCAAGATTTTTGAAAAGTAAGGGTGTCGAGGGGGTGCTTCGTTGGAGGGCCTTCGGCCAGAGACCCTCGTTCCTGCAGACAAAAACCGAGACTCGGTGGAGGAGGATAAGCAAGAGGGGGGCCAACTGAAGAGACTTGGACACTCCGGGTGATCAACATTCATTCCTTTTTGCCATCTTCTGCGACACTGCATGCATCAAGAAAACGACTAGATTCTGTGGAAGAGACTAGCGGGAGGACAGGAAAACGTACAAGGAGGGGGGAAATTCCCTACCTAGGCTCTGCCTAGAAGGGTTCTTACTCTGAGGCTTAAAGGGCCGGGCAGTGGAATGCGCCCCGGGCGGTTCCCCTGGCATCCGCCCCGCGGTTCCCCCAGTTACGTGCCCTTAGCTTAGCGTCGCTTATCTCATCTTAGCTTAGCCTAGCTTAGCTTAGTTTAGCCTAGCCTGGCCCAGCTTAGCTTAACTTAGCCTAGCCCAGCTTAGCTTAGCTTAACTTAGCTCAGCTTAGCGCAGCATTAGCATAGCATAGCATAGAATAGCATAGCATATCGTAGCATAGCATATCATAGCATAGCGCAGCATAGCATCGCATATCATAGCATAGCGCAGCATATCATAGCATATCATAGCAAATCATAGAATAGCATAGCATAGCTTAGCTTAGCATCGCACGGCGCAGCATAACATACCATATCATAACATAGCATATGCTGTAGGTCTAGATGTAGATGTAGGTACTATTACTGCTACTACTACTACTACTACTACTACTACTACTACTACTACTACTACTACTACTACTACTACTACTACTACTACTACTACTACTACTACTACTACTACTACTACTACTACTACTACTACTACTACTACTACTACTACTACTACTACTACTACTACTACTACTACTACTACTACTACTACTACTACTACTACTACTACTACTACTACTACTACTACTACTACTACTACTACTACTACTACTACTACTACTACTACTACTACTACTACTACTACTACTACTACTACTACTACTACTACTACTACTACTACTACTACTACTACTACTACTACTACTACTACTACTACTACTACTACTACTACTACTACTACTACTACTACTACTACTACTACTACTACTACTACTACTACTACTACTACTACTACTACTACTACTACTACTACTACTACTACTACTACTACTACTACTACTACTACTACTACTACTACTACTACTACTACTACTACTACTACTACTACTACTACTACTACTACTACTACTACTACTACTACCACTGCTACAACTGCGACGATGAGGAGAAAGAGGAGGACGGCGTTTACCGTTACTACTAATATTGCTCTCCTCGGGGCTCCAACTCCTAGGTAGGGTCGCTCTGGGCTAATTAGATGCTGTCCTTGGCATTGCTGGGAGTCTGTGGCGAACTCTTGGTCCCTCCCAAAGGGGGGTGCTGCCCCCCTTGGCGGGGTGTGCTGCTGCTTGCCCATTAACTCCCAACCAAACCGATCACCTCCCAAGCCCTCATCAATCTCACTTGCTGTCACGCCCTTCGCCATGAACTCTCCCAGCGTTTGCTGCCAAGAACTAAGTCAACCTGGTCTGCGGGGTCTTTCGGCGATGCACCTGCTCCGCGCCACCAAATTAGTTCAAGTGAACTCTTTGGCAACGATAGCTGGGAAGGCCTCGGCGCGCTTCTCAAACAAGTTGCGCCACTGCTCCATATCCTCAACCGTAGCGCACTCCTCGAGCCAACATTCCTCGCATACAAAGCCTCTGCCTTTGGCGCAAAGGGTCTGTCATCTCCAGACTCCCTTAAAAGTGACTGCTGCACATGCTGTTCAGGTCGGTGTGCCTCCTGGCACCTCCCAGCATGGGTTGCAGTGATAGTTGCCTGAGCCTGTTTTGGAGACTGGCCGCCTTCTTTTGAAACGTACAATGCGCATCGGTGGCGCGACAAAAGAAACATCAAACTCCCTATCCTAGAGATCCTTACGGGGGCTTGGGCTTGGAATTGGATCCGTGGCAATGGCTTGCGCCTTTGCTAAAAGCCGCCTCTTGGCCTGCTTGCTCTTCGCCGAGCGGTTGCTGCGAGGGCGTCTGGAAGGGGTCAGCGACACTCGGAGATCACGGTGTGAGTTGTCAGGGAGGGTGGGAGGATGAGGGAGGACGAGGAGGAGACGAGGTGCCAGAGGAGGAAGAGGAGGAGGAGGAAACGGTGGAGGGGAGAAGGACCAGAGTAACTTCATTATGCGCCAACGATGCTGCATGCACCCGCCCGTCCCAAAACCCATAGCCACAAGTCCCTACAAGCCTCTTCTTTCACTACCCCCTTGAAGTATCAACACGCAGTGTGCCTGTCATTCAAGGCAACCCACGTTGTCAAGCGGAACTGCCGTGCGTCCTTATGGCGGAAAGACAATAAGGCAATCGTGTACGATAACGCAATCCAGCGATGTCTCCAGGGATACCACCATATTGGAAAACAAGTGCACGTCAGTGTCATTGTTCCACAAGTCTACATGTCTGGTCATGAGCCCCGAAGAAGTTTAAAGCTGAAGCCCCACCGTGAACATGACACCGCCTTCCATCCTCGCACGAGTGACACATGTTCAAAGTTTCGGCCTTTCAGTTGAAGAAAGTCTCACGCAATGGCCTCATGTTGAAGACGAACAGTTATCCATCCATGTAGCTCCTGGTAACTTTTAGAACACATGTGCGCGGCGCTCAAGCGCACATCAAATGATGAAACCGCGACGCCCTCCATCTTTGTAGCTGCTGCGGACGTTTATGACAAATGTGTGCGGCGCTCGGGCGAGAGCCCATTTTGAGAATGAACCGCACTCCATATTTGTAGCTGCTTCAAACTTATACGACGAATGTGCGCTGCGCTTGGGCAAGAGCTCCATTTTGGAAACGGGTCGCCCTCCATCTCGTAGCTGCTGCAAGCGTTCAAGACGAATCTGCGCGGCGCTGGGGCGAGTGCCCCATGACTGAAATTACCCGCCCGTTATCCTTGTAGCTGCGGCGAATCAGCAGCTTCATGATCGTAACGTGCGAAGAGTTTTCAAATCAAACGCTGGGCCTGCCCTACCAACACGCCTGGTGATCAGACGACGAGGAACTATCTATAAGGGAAAAGATGGAGGAGTGGAGAAAGGGGACGGGGGGAGGGTTGGTGGAGAGAGGGGGGAGGGATCGAGGAGGGAGAGCGGGGGAGACAGAGAAGAAGGGAGGTGGGGAGAGAGGGAAGGGGGAGGGGGGGACAAAGGATTGGGGAAACAGGGGGAGGACGTTGATGACGATGATTCGGAGGAAACGCGCGGAAGCTCACTGTAGGCCCTGCCAGGCAAACCCAGACGCCAAACGGCGCGTAATGGCCTCCTTTGCATGTGTCGCGTCCCCATCGGCGTTTGCGTCAGCGACAAATCGAAGCAGTGCAGGAGGGAGCGGAGGGAGGAACACCCTTCCTCCTCAGGCCACCCCTCCACCCCTCCAGCTCCAGACATCTTCCCTCCCTCCCTCCTCGCCCTCCTCCAATCACCCTCCCTCCTCTGGCCTTGCCTCCACTCGCCCTCCCTCCTTTCACAATCCTCCCTCCACCAGCCGTCCTCCCTCCCCTCTGGTCCCTCGACCATCTCTCCCAGAGCCTTCCTCCAACCACTGGCGTGGCATTGCCCCCCACTGGCCGTCTTATGAGGAACAAAACATGACACAAGCATAACTTCTCGGAGGCCAGCCTGGACATCCGGGCCTTCCCCAGGGCCACTTCCTCATCCTGGGACGTTTCTTAACAGTCCTGGGGCCCGGGAACTGCTCCGAGATGCCGAAAACGGTGAGACGCAGGACCCCCTCCCCTCAGGACCTGCTCTGCTCCTTCATGCTTCAGGGATTTCCTGACCCGATGCGAACCCAGGTCAGTCGGGACTTGCAGGATCCTGCAACATCCTGCTGGATCCTGCAGGATCCTGCACGCAAATCCGGGTCAATGTACCCCTGGCCCTGCAAGATCAGGCCAAATCCCGCGCTCCGGCTGACCCCCGTTTGCATTGACCCCCGTCCCTTGAGCCCCGAATGCCAACATCCTCCCTCCTCCGGCCAACTCCCATCTCTCCGTTCTCCACGTGCCGAACATACCCTACGGCAGGCTCGTGTCGAGACGACGTCGGCGTTGGTTTCTGACACCGCGCGGATCGTTCAACCTCGAGCACTTGCCCGTTTCCCATAGCGCGATTTGCGCGACATCAGCTGGTTGTGGGCCACCGGCGGCGTTGAATCTTGAACGCCCGCGCTGGGGTCGCCGCCGCGTCGACGCGACACGAACCTGCCGTACTTCAGCCGCCCTCCCCTCTCCCACCCGTCCTCCTCGAGCAACAGTCCCTCCCGAGATCGCCCCTCGCCGATTCATCCTCCAGCAGCCCTCCTTGCCGCTGCCCATCCTCGAGCCATCGGCCGTCCTCCTCGCCCGGTCACCCTCCGTCCGCTGCCACGCTTCCTCCTCCCACCGCCCCCCTGCTGATGGCACCATTCTCATCACCGTCCCCACCATCATGATCACGATGACTACCACTGTTGCCGTCACCGTCTCCATCACCATCAACACCACCACCACCACCATCGCCACCGTCATCGCCACCATTGTCGTCATCGCCGCCATCGGCACCACCATCGCCACCTCCACCACCGCCACTACGATCACCACCGTCACCCTCACAGCCACCTCGGAGCAGGGCTAGCTGAGACGACCGCAGCCCCAAAGCAGTCCTCGGACCCCTCCCGGGGTCCGAACGCACCAGCAGTCACGTCATAACCACCGTCGCCGCCATCGCCTCCGGCCCCCCGCAGGCCGTGTGCCTCCGCGCACGCGGCCTCGCACCGCGCCCGCTGCAGGAGGGCCACGTCCCGGCGCAGCTCCTCCGCCCGCCGCCGCAGGGCCTCTGGGGAGCGCTGCTGGTGCTGCTGCGGAGGAGGCGGCAGGACGGAGGAGCGAAGGAGCAGGGGAGAGGAAGAGGAGGAGCAGCAGGAGCAGGAGAGGGAGGGCGGAGGATGAGGGGAAGGAGGGTGGACCAGAGCCCAGGATGCGTCAACGATGCGGCAGCACGCCCTCCCGTCCCCCGCTCCCTCCCCATGAACCCCCCACAAATCTTCTTTCTCATGTTGTTCCCCACAGCCGAAGTGGGGTTCTTTTCTTCGGACAACCCCGCGCAGAAAAGAACAACTCACCCTCTCTTCCTCTCCTTCTTCGCACTCATCATGGCAATCGCACTGTCATCTTCATCATCATCATCATCATCATCATCATCATCATCATCATCATCATCATCATCATCATCATCATCATCATCATCATCATCATCATCAACATCATCATCATCATCATCATCATCACCACCACCACCACCCACCCACCACATCATCATCATCATCATCATCATCATCATCATCATCATCATCATCATCATCATCATCATCATCATCATCATCATCATCATCATCATCATCATCATCATCATCATCATCATCATCATCATCATCATCATCATCATCATCATCATCATCATCATCAAGATCGCCGATTATCATAACCATCGATCAGTGACTTGCGAGGAGATCTCGAGCGGGAGCCCCCTCCCCATGGGCCTCCCCAGATTACGTTACTAATCCGAGCGGGTCTCCAAATCCTGTAGCTGTCGTCACTTTGGGCTCCTGAGGCATGAGTATGGAGGAAGTCTCGAGCGGGAGCCTCCTCCCTGAGTGGACTCGCGAAATTCTCAGGCGGGGCCCCTCTCCTTATGGGGGTCGCCAAACCATGTTAGTCATCCGAGCGGGTCATCCAAATTCTGCAACAGTCGTCACTTTTGAACTCCTGAGGCCTGGGTCTGGAAGAAATCACGAACGGGAGCCTCGTCTCTGAGTGACTTGCGAGGACGTGTCGAGCGGGAGCCCCCACCCAATGGGCCCCCCAGATAATCTTACTGGTCGGAGCGGGTCGTTCAAACCCTGTAGCTGTCGTCGCTTCTGGCTTGAGTATGGTGGAAGTCTCGAGCGGGGCCCCGTCTGTGAGTGAATTGCGAAGAGGTCTGGAGCGGGAACCCTCTCCATTTGGGGCCATCAGATCACGTTTCGAATCCGAGCGGGTCGTCCAAATTCTATATCTGTCGTTACTGTTGTGCTCCTCCGCCAAGACTCTGAAGGACATCTCGACCGGGAGCCTGGCCTCAGAGTGAATTGGGAGGGCGTCTCGAGCGTGAGCCTTGTCCCCAGGGGCCGCCAGATCACGTTACTAATCCGAGCGTGTCGTCTACACCCTGTAACTATCGTCACGTTCGGGCTCCTGAGGCTTGAATCTGGAGGAAGTCTCGAGCAGGCGCCTCGTCTTTCATTGCTTCTGAGGAGTGTGAATGAATCTCGAGCGAGGGACTGTCCGTGAGTGAGTTGGGAGGACGGCGGGAACGCCCTCCCCATGGGGCCCAGATTTCATTTGAATAACCCGAGCGGACCATCCAAACCCTGCGCCTGTTGTCACGTTTGGGCTCCCGTCGTTGCGATTGGGTCGCACATGAGATATCGCTGATACATGTCGTGCTATCGCAATCGGGAAGCGAGGACACGTATTTGTCCCGCGCATCCTGTCGTCGTGCTTGGACCGCGAGTGGGGCCAGCTTCTGGTCGTCGAGTAGAGGACAGCAGACAACAACGAAGAGCAGCAGAGGGCAGCAGAGAGCAACAGACAACAACAGAGAGCAGCTGAGATCCGCAACTCGCAGCAGGCAACAGCAGCTGCGGCCCCACATGAGAAACACAGGACAGCAGAAAACAGCAGACAACTGCAGAGGCCAGCAGAGAGCATGAGACGTTTGCAGAGAGCAGCAGAGAGCAGCAAACACCAGCAGACAACATCAGAGACCAGCAAACCACAACAGACAACAACAGAGAACAGCTGAGACCCGCAAAGAGCAGCAGACAACAGCGGAGAGCAACAGACATCATCAGAGACCAACACATACTAACTGCCAACATACATATATATGTATATATATATATACATCAACAGAGTCCGGCATATACCAGCAACGAGCAGCAGCAGATACCAGCACTGAGCAGCAGGCGCCGGCAGGGAGCAGCAGGCGACAGCAGACAACTTCAGCGACCAGCAACACAGCAGCAGAGAGCAGCATGTAACAGCAAGCAGCAGAGAGCAGCAGGCACCAGCAGAGAGCAGCAAGGAGCAGCACACAATAGCCGAGACCAGCAATGAACAGCAGACACCGGCAGAGAGCAGCAGAGAGCAGCAGCGACCAGCAGACACCAACAGAACGCAGCAGGGGAGCAGCATAATGCAACAGACGCCAGCAGAGAGCAGCAGCGACCAGCACAGAGTAGCAGATCGCAGCAATCAACACCAGAGGGCATCGCAACACACCCACACACGCATCGTCACCATCACCATCATCATCATCATCATCATCATCATCATCATCATCATCATCAACAACAACAACAACATCGTCATCATCATCATCATCATGGACACCCACTCACTCACTCACTCACTCACTCACTCACTCACTCACTCAGTCACCATCATCACCATCACCATCACCAGCGCTCCCGAGACTGGAATCTGGAGGAAGTCTCAGGCGGGGGCCTTGTCTGTGAGTGAATCGCAAGGCAGTCCCAGGCGGGAGCCACCCCGCATTGGCCCCGCGCCTCATGCTTCAAATCTCAGGGGTCCATTCGAAACCTGTCACTGTCGTTATCTTTGGCACCCGAGGCAAGCGCGATGAAGTCTCAAGCGGGGGCGTCCCTCTATGAGGCCAGCGCCTCATGTTTTAAATCCCGCGGGCCGCTCGAAACTTGTGACGGCATTAATCTTGAAGAAGTCTTGGACTGGGGCCTTGTCTGTGAGTGAGCTGGTAGGAAGTCAATTCCAAAGGGTCGTTCGACATCTATACATGTTGTCAGTTTTGGCCGAAGTCTCGTGCGAGGGCCTTGTCTGTGAGTGAATCGCAAGGATGTCTCAGGCGGGAGCCCCCTCCCTATGGGGTCACCCACTCGTGATTTCAATTCCAGGGGATCAGTCAAAACATGTAGCTGTCGTCGCTCTTGGGCTCCTGATGCTTGAATCTTGAGGAAGTCTCGAGCGGGAGCCTCGTCCCTGAGTGAATGGCGAAAATATTCAATGGGCTCGATAAAGACCTGTAACGGTCGTCACTTGTGAATTCCTGAAGCCTGAAGTCTGAAGAGGTCTCTGGCGGAGGCATTGTCTGTGAGTGAATTACGACGGATTTTCAAGCGGGATCCCTCTCTCTCTCTCTCTCTCCCTCTCCCTCTCTCTCTCTCTCTGTTTGGGATTTACACACCAAGTTTTGAATCCCAAGGGGTGCTTCGAAACCTGTAACTGTCATCAGTTTTGGGCCCCTGAAAGTGAAATCTTGAGGAAGTCTCAGGCGGGGGCTTTGTCTGTGACTGAATTGCGAGGGAGCCTCAAGCAACAACCCTCTACGTATGGGATCCGCGCCCCATGCTTTGACCCCCAAGGGATCATCGGAACCGTATGCGTAAATTCCGTCACTCTTGGCCCGTGGAGCTTAACTCCGGAGGAAATCTAGAGCGGGAGCGTCGTCCTTAAGTGAATGGTGAAGAAATCTTGAGCGGGGGCACCTCCCTATGGGCCGCCCTCCCCATGGGCGTAATCGTCTGGGCTGCGGCATGGGCATCAACTGAGGGACGTTGGCGAAATGGATCAATACGCGCGCTCGCCGCGGCGATCCCAACGCGTGTCGGCGCTTCGTGAACGTCCCGGACATGCGCGAAGCGGGAGACAGCCACGGCGTTTCGCCAGCAAGCCTCGGCATGGAGGTTCGATTCACTGCCGCGCAGGAGGAACTGAATAACAAGTTGGTGCTCGTGCTGGAGCAACGGGCCACCATCGCACCCTTCGGGTTTCACCCCGAAGGCGAGCATCGGTGCGAAGAGTGCGGGCCAGGCTGGCTCTTCCGCCGCCAATTCTTACCGCAGGGACTCTGGCTGCAGGTGCACGGCTTCAAAAATAATCCCCGATCTAGCAGGAGGTCGCCGAGCTGCTGATACAGGGCGCCGAAGGTACTGACGACGATGGCCAGGCCTAGGCGCGGGCGCGGTGCTTGCTCGTGTTCAGGCCCAGCGATCATGAGTTCACGTGGCATAGCTCGGGGGCGCACGCCGTGCGCCGCTCGGGGTTCACCCTGGCGCGCGCGTCCTGCCTCGTCTCCACGCTGTCGCAGGGTCAGACGCTGCGCAAGGGCGTCACCATCGACTATGCCAGGGATTAGGAAACTGGCCGCACGGGCATGTCGGACGAGCACTGGTGGCTGTACTTCTACGTCATCTGCTCCTGCGCCACGCGCGCGCGGAACATGCTGATCCTGCGGCCGCCCTCGCGCGAGTTTCCGGGGCGTGGGCCGCCTGCGTCTTTGCGAAAATGCACTTGGGGAGTTCGACCAGAGAGCGGCGAACTCCAGGGCTTAGGCCGAGCAGCTCGCCGCAGAGCTTGGCTTCCCGCTGCCTCCCGCCTGAGCGCGGCCGCGCCCCGCTCGAAGCCCGCGGTGTTGCCCTGGCGGCTTGGTCTCGCGCTCCAGCGGCCCGCGGGTTTGTCCCAACGGCGTGGCCCACGAGGTTGCCCCAACGGCTTCGCGATCTGGCCATCGGAGAGCGCGCCCTTGCCGATCGAAACGGCTGCGGCGCCAGGGAAATCGATGTGCGCGCCCTCGCAGAAGGAATGGGCGAGGTGGCGGAAAGGGGGGGAAAGGCAGGAGGGCGAGGAGGAGGAGGCAAAGCATGGGGCGGGAGGAGGGCCCGCGCCAGGGGGAGAAGGAGAATGGCGCAGCGGAGACAGGGAGAGAACTTCCGCAATCACAGGAACGATGATGAGGATTGCTCCCAGACTAATCGACAATAAAATGAAGTGGAGTCCTAATGTTGGAGTAATTCGCTCTTTTAATGTACTGATGCGTTGCGGGCCGATTGCAATACAGGTTGAACATCCGCCACCGTGCCTGCACGGAGTGGGCGTGTTAGAATGAATGACTGTTGTCTGGGACGATTTTTGAAATGTTTCCTGGGTCCCTCCCCTACGCGTGCCTCTGAGATCCCCCCAGTGAAATTGCTTTCCGGCGCTCTTTTCGGCCTCCAAACAGGCAAGATCGCCTCCCAGACGGCTTCCAAGGCAGTCCGGATGACACCAAGACAGCCCAAGACAGCTCAACAAAACTCCCAAGAACGCATCAAAACAGCTCAAGAAGCCTTCAAGACGGCCTAATATTGCTCCTAAGCGGCCCTCCAAGAGAGCCCGAGGAAGCACACACCATTGATTTTCCAGAGGCTTTTTGCAGGATGTCGAAGTTCTCGCCCGCTTGCGCTTCCGACAGCCGAAGACGGCCCAAGGGGCCTCCAACACAGATCCAAGACAGCCAATGGGGTCCCTAAGAGGGCCCCGAGTCGGCCCAAGAGGACCCCGAGATCGCCTAACAGCCTCCCAAGAGGGCCCCACGACGGCCAAGAGAGGCCCCAAAGACGGCCCAAGACGCTCCCAAGAGGCCCCGAGAGGCCCCCCAGGAGGCTCCCACGAGGCCCCAGGAGGCTCCAAGAGGGTCCCCTCCTCGTCCTCATTTTCTCCCTCTCCCCTTCTCCTCCTCCTCTTTCTCCTCCTCCCCTCTCCTCCTCCTCCTCCTCCTCCTCCTCCCCACTACCGCGCGGACGAAGACGATGTCGGGATCACGACCCTCCACAGATCAGAACACTGGCTGCACTGCCGCGGGGTGTGAACTCGACCTCCTGCCCATCGCGCGGACGAAGACGAGGTCGAGTTCACGATCCGTCCTTATGATACCACTTGTGAGAATTGCGCTGTTCCTGCCCTCAATCTCCTTCCTGCAGCGCTGTTGCACAGGCACGGTGCCGGGATTTACAACAGGAAGCTGGACAGAGGGCAGGAAACTGCCGATCCACTCGTCTGTCGTCAGGGTGCTGAGCGCGGGGGCCGTTTTGAAAACAGGCCGCCCTCTGCCCGTGCAGCTGATGCGTAGGTTACACATGTTTTCAGATTTCTGCCATCTTGGCTGAAGGACACCTCGAGAGAGAGAGAGAGAGCGAGCGTCACGATGAAACGAGCCGTAACCCATCCGTGTACCTGCTGCAAGCCTGTACAACGAGTGTGCGCGGCGCTGCCGCGAGAGCCCAATTTGGGGAACGGAGCCGCCCTCCACGCCGCCGGCCCGCGCTGCCTCCTCTTCCTCGTCCTCGGCCTCCTCGCCCTCTTCACGCTCCTCCACCTCCCGCCCCCGATCCTGGCCGCCGCCGCTGCCCCTCCTGGCTCCAGCTCCCGCTTCTCTCCCCCCTTGCTCATACATCGCAAATTCGTAGTGTTTACTTTTCCAACTTTGCTGCATTAGCTGTTCTTGTCCTCCTCCCTCCCCCCCCCTCCCCCGCTCCCTCTCCTCCTGCTTAGGCCACGGCTCGGGCCTCGGGCGGCCGCTCGGGACGATCCCGGCACCTCCGGAGCGCCCGCGACGAGGCGCAGCTGATGGAAGGCCCGCCCCTGGCCCCCCCAGACGTCTCCCGAAGCCCCTGGAGACTGCCGAAGACCGCGGGGGGAACCACCCCGTGCCCCCGAAGACCTCCGAGAGCCCCCGAAAAGACTTGCGAAGGCCGCGATGGAGGCCACGCCGGGGCCACCCGAAGACCTCCGAAAGCTCCCGAAGACTTCCGAAAACCAGCGAACCCTTGACATCCGCCGATGTGGTTTCTCCAGTCCGCGGCGCCGAGAGGCCCCGAGCGCCTCCCCAGGTGCCGTCTTTCGTCCTGGGTCTATCTCTGATGATCCCCAGGGGCCCGAAGCCGGCCGCCAGGGGCAGAAACCGAGGAGGCAGCGCCTGTTGAAACAATGACCTCGTCGGAGGTCTGGGCCCGAGAGCCCCCGAAAGCCCTCCGAAAACCGCCGAGAGGCGGCGGCGCCTGCCTTTCTGCGGCAACTCGGGGGAGCCTCTCATGCCAGCTTGTCGGCTCTTGCGCATCGACGCTGATCGACGCTAGTCGACGCTATGTCGACGCTATTTCATCGACTACCAGACGCCGATCGACGCTAGTCGACGCTGACGCACTCTGAAAACGCTTCCATGATTTGCTGCCGAACCCCCTCGCCGCTGCAGGCGGTCCTCGCCGGCGGCGACCCCGCCGCCAGCGTTCAACGTCGAACGCCGGCAGCGACCCAGAATCGGTCGATGCTGAACGAGCTGGCGCTTCGGAAAGGGCCGATCGTTCGTTCAAGGTTGAACGACCCATGCGGTGTCAGAAACCAACGCCGAAGTCGGCAAGACACGAACTTGCCGCACCAGGGCTTCTCGGAGGGCGGGTGGGCTTCTAAGGAGCCTCCTGGCTTCTCGGAGCCATTGCTCATCGCCTCACCCCCTTGTGCGCTTGTGTGCGCCGTCAAGTTCTACTGCCACCTGCCACCACCGTCCGCCTGCCGCCGTCAGAGCCATTCTCCGTCGTTGTCGGCTGTACGCAAGAGTGACCCTGGGTAAGAGTGACCTTTGGTGCGCGACTTTTTGGGGGCCGCGGGGAGACCAAACCTGGGTGCGCAAGCAGCTGCTACTGCTTCGTTTTCAGCCATCTGGGTACCCATCCGTGCCCGCACCAAAGGTCACTCTGGCGAAAGGTCACTCTTACGTCTAGTCGACGTTGGCACTCCATCCGTCGCCCGGCGCTACAGGTGCCAGAGAGGAGACGTGTCTGGGGCGCATGTCGCACTGAAGGCGGCCGTACTCGGGCCCCACCTGGGGAAGTGTTTTTTGGGTTCTACCTCGGTGTTGTGTCGTCATGCGCTTGTTTTTCTGCGTCACAGTCGTGATGCGCTCGGTTGTTCCGCGTCGCCGTCGTGAGGCATTCCGCTTCTGCTTCACAGTCGAGTCTGTGCGTGCACGCAGCCGCTCTGTAATGTCTTTTCAGTCATACTCTCCTGAAGAGTTGCCAATCGCGCACTCTTCTGCCCACGCGTCCCTCCGGACGCTCGGCTCAGTGGTGGTGGTGGCTCGGACCTCCGGCGGCCTCTCGAGACGATCTGGCCACCCCCGGGACGCTCTCGGCGAGGCGCAGCTGCCGGAGAGCATCCCGAGGCCGGGAAGCCGCCGAGAACCGACGAAAACGCAGGAAAGCCTAAAACCTCGAACCCGAAACGCCCCTCCGCCCCCCTGCCGTTGTCCCCCCTCGACGTTGTCCCCCTTGACGCTGTCCCCCTGCCATTGTCCCTCTTCGGACAACCCGCCTCGTCCGCCCACGTGCCTCGCCCGCCCACGTGCCCCCTCGTCCGCCCACATGCCTGGGGCCATGGTCTCCAGACCCCCGTTTTCCTGCCTGCCCGTTCTTCGGCACACCCGATGGTGGGCACACGGCAGACGACAGCCCGCCCGAACCCCGCTATTCTCGACACGAGCCTCCCGTGCGAAAGCCGCCGAGAGGCGGCGGCGCCCCCGTCGTCGCTCGAGGCGGGCCTGCTCGGCCTCCTGCAGGAGCTCCTCGGGCCGCGCCGCGGTGGGCTCCGGCTCGGGAGGCGCGGCCTCCGGCCGCGCGGCGGGGGCGGCGGCGTGTCCTCGGGCGGGCGTCCATACAGCTCGTCTTTCCTCCTCGTTCGGCTCCTCTTCCCTCCTCCTCCTGGTCCTCGTCAACCTCCTCCTCCTCCTCCTCTTCCTCCAAATTCCTGGTTCTTGATGGCGCAAGAGTCCGTCCGATGCTGCCACGCCACCCCTCAGGGGCGTTCGCCCCTGGGAGGGTCGGACTGGGTTGCCGGGCAGCGGGGCCGCCGCGGCATAAGCTGTAAAGGGGAGCGCGGTCGAAATGGCACGCATGATAATAACAATAAAGAGGCGAAGAGAAGGGGGAAGTGAGCAGCGTTGCGGCGGTCGCGTGGGCGAGCGGCCATGGCCACTTTCGCCCACGGTGGAAGGAGCAATGACTTCTCCCCCTGCCCATAAGACACCCCCGCTAGCTCCTTCTCCCACGCCGGGGACCCTCACCTGCCGACGCAGGCGCAGTGTACCCGAGCGTGGAACTGGTGGCTCCCGACGGGATTCTACCGGGCATGGGGGAGGCTTGCGCTTTCCTGGCGGTTCCACCCACCCCCTTCCGTCATCTAGGACCCACCCTTCCCTCATATTAGGGTAGAGTTGCGTAGGCTGCAAGTTGATATGCGAAACAAGGCTGAGTGGCACGGATGAGGCTGTTTTCCGGCGAAAGTTGCAAGTCGTTATTGTATGCTGCAGCCACTATAGCGCACCATACACGATTCGGATGCGGGCAGATTGCGTTGAGCAGCGGCTGTAGTAGAGGGCTGTTAGCACAAGGCACCGACTGTGTTGCAGCGTGGGTGCACCAAGGCTGAGGCGTATGGCGTGCGATGCTGGGAGGCAGCGCCATTGGCTGCCTACCCAAATCGGTTGTCTCTCGACGTCCCACCCCCGCCCACCCACCCACGTAATCATCCCTCACGTGGAGTTTCACGATTGGGGCTGCACGTTTGGGGCCGCTCCCGTCCCCGCCCACCCACCCACGTAATCATCCCCACGTACTTACCCTGTTGGGGCTGCACATGGAGCTGCGGCAGCAAGGGGCAAGTAGACGGTGAGTGATAATACGCAAACACGGATATGAAGAGGGAAGTATGGCGACTGCCTGCTGCAACGGGTAGAGGCGGGCCAAATGAATCAACTGTGGCGTGCAAAACGTAGTATGATGATGAGGAGGAGGAAGAGGAGGAGGAGGAGGAGAAGGAGGAGAAGGAGGAGGAGGAAGGGTAGGTGAGCAGCGCTGCGGCGGTGCCGTGGGGGAGCGGCCAAGGCCACTCTCGCCCAATGTGGAAGGCGCAGTGGCCTCACCCCTTCCCAGCAGGAACCCCCCCAGCCAGCTTTGCAGTTCCACGACGGGAGCCCTCACACGCCGGGGCTGGCGTAGGATACCCGAGCGTGGAACTGGTGGCTGCGCGAAGGGTCTCCGCCGGGCGTTGGGGAGGTTTGCGCCTTCCTAGCGGTGGCCATGCAGGGTTGTACGCTCCACCTATCCCCCTCCATCATATAGATCCCCACCCGCACGACCATCCCTCACGTGTGGGACTGCAAGCGGAGCTGCTGCAGCAAGTGGCCAACTGACGGTAAGAGAGGTCAAACAAACACGGAAATTAAGAGGGAAGTGTGGCGATTGCCTGCTGCAACGGGCGAAGGCGGGCCAGGTGAGGCAACTGTGGTCGGCAAAAGGTGGCACAGGTGAGGCGGGGAAGGTTATAGGGAAGCTTAGGCTCTTGCATTGGCTGTGCTGGCCGTTTTGCTGACCGCAGGCGTCCCGACCTTCGCCAAGGTGGCCCGCGGTGGGTCATGTCCCCTTCTTTTCCTCGCGATCGCCAGCTCATCCCACCCCAAAACAATGGTGAAGGTGAAGGTTTGATGGGGGGTGGGAAGTTAGAGTTATGTGCCCATCCCCCTCCTCCTCCTCCTCCACCACCTCCACCACCTCCTCCTCCTCCACCTCCTCCTCCCACTCCTCCTCCTCCTCCTCCTCCTTTTTCTCCTCCTCCTCCTCCTCCTTCTCCTCCTCCTCCTCCTCGTCCTCCCTCCTCCTCCTTTTATTCTTCTTCTTCCTCCTCCTCCGCCTCCTCCTCCTTCTTTCCCCTCCCCCCCTCTTTCTCCATCCCGTCTCCTCCCATTCTCGAGCCCCATTTTGGCACCGCTCGAGAGAATTGGCCGACCCTACGGCGCTGACCCATAGGGTGCCAGCGTCAACGGCGAAGCGCTCCCAACCCCCAGAGCCCGCGTGGCATAGGCGCCGCCGCCTCCGCCGACACCAGGCGAGGAGGATTGTTGCAGCTGCGCAGGCGGACCTCGAGCAGCACCACGGCCACCACGCGTTCGCCCTGGGCAAGAACTGGCATTCGTACGGCTCCCAGTCCCAGCAGCGCAGCGGCCCGTGGACTACCTGCAAGAGGTGCGGGAGATGGGAGTACGACGACGCCCTCCCCAACCTGCAGTGGAAGTGCAGGTGCGGCGCCCACTTCGCCCGCAAGGGCAAGGACAAGAAGGGCGGCGACACTAACACAGCAAGGCAGGGGGTGCTGAAGGCCCTGGAGGACGTCTCGGCGCAGCTCGCGGGAATGGCGCTGCAGCCAGATATCACCCAGCAACTCGCGACGGTGGTCGGCGCTGTCGCAGGGGCGTCCAGGGCAGCCCAACCGCAGAAGAGCGCGGCCACGAGGCTCGCGGACGCCGCCTGGGACCTGGAGCAGAATAACAAGGCCTACGACAAGGCCTTCAACGCCAGGGACGAGGCCAAGCAGCGCCTCCAGAAGCTAGAAGCGGACCTGCAAGAGAAGGCAGCCGCGGTGGTGCACGCGGAACAGGTCGTGGAGCAGATCCGCCTGTGCGACGACGGCGGGAAGAAACCTTCCCTCCTCTACGACATTCTCACGATGTCCCCCGACGCGCTCGAGAAGGAGACGCTGCAGGACTTAGATAGGGCTCTGGCAGCGGCTGCAGACCGTGCGGCGGCGACCCAGGCAGCCAAGAAGCGCAAGCAGGGCCATGACGGTGCTGCCAAAACGGAGGACAAGCCCGACGAGGACCAGAGGCGGCAGGCGCAGCCGCCTGGGGCGCCGCCAGCCGAGGCCCAATGCACAGCCCATGCGGCCAACGGCGAGGCGCCCCAACCGGAAGCAGCCGCAGCCGCAGCCGCCGCAGCCGCCGCAACCGCTGAGACGGAGAAGGCGAAGGAGAAGGAACGCGCCAGGGAGATCGCCAAGCAGAGGCTGCTCTCGGCGGCACGCTCCCAGCAACAGCAGACGGCAGCCGCTGCTTCCTCCATATTCATCAGGGAGTTCGTGGAATCGTGCGATGTTCATGCTGCAGGGGACTCACGTCAAGCACAACCGGCTGGCTGAACTGGAGCAGGAGGTGAGAGGCTGGGGCCTCAAGGCCGCCTTTTCTGCAGCTCGCCAGAATGAGACCTCGCAGAAGGGTTCGCGAGGAGGTGTCTGGATAGGTATTAGGTCCAGACGCCAATGCACGATGTTCAGAGAGTTGGCTCGCCCACGCTGCGCCTCTGCCAGTACGGTGTGCCCGAGTCGGGGACGAAATGGCCCCAGCTTTAGTCTTCAGGACTGAATGCCTGTCACTTGGCATCTAAAGGGAGTCAGCATCACCCTGGTCAGCCTGTACTCAGAGGGTACGCACTGTTTCACAGGGAACTATGCATCTAAGCTGGCTGCTATGGCAGTTTTTTACACACGTGTAAAACTCCTTGGATCGTTGCTGGAGATCTCAACGCGTCTCCTGGGGCATTTTGGAAGTCTGGGTGGCCTACCAAGCTTGGAGGCTCCATCGGCTGTCTAGAGAATAGATATACTTGCTTCAGAAAAAGGTTCCGAACCCTCGCTGATATATTATGTTCTCAGGAGCCCCGAAGCGACCCTTTACTTTCAAGGTTTAGAAACAGTTGCGGTCCGCTGGAAGCCCCACGCCGGTCAGGTTCTAACGCTCCGAGCTTCAGTTGTGCCAGCTTTAACGATGACGTTATGTATGCCAGCCCCTTTTCTGCGTCCGCCTCGCAGGAAAGAGGCGGACTCGAACAGCAAGAGACAGCGTCGCCTGCGAGAAAAAGGAATTGCCCTCTCGCCTGCTGCCTCCGCTGCTGCTGCCGCTGCCGCCTCCTCGCTCGCTTCCAAAAAAGTTGAAGAAAGGGAGCAAGAGCTGGCAAACCGACGGTGGGGGGCTCTAGGTCCAACTGGTTGGTCGCATCTTCCCAAGAGGCCTGTAGGCTTGGACTCGGAGGAGGTCGACCCCTTCGATGAATTAGACAGGGCCCTGGAGGAGCCTGAGCCCTGGGAGGAACCCATGGAGCAATTCTGGTGAGCCCGAAGGCCCAATCGAGCCCGAGGTGTCGCCATTGTCCGTCCCGCCTGTGAGTGGGGACCTGTCGACATCATCTGAGGCTTCGCAGGCTGATTCCAGGTCGACCGTGCCAGGCGGCCCCGAGTTGGCGTCTGCGCGGCGTCTGCGCGGAGAGCCTCAATGAGCTCTGGGATGAAGTTAGTAAACTGCCTCCCCCTCGGTCTCAAAACGTCCCTGATCACATAGCGTGCTGCCCTGCTTTCCGTGTGAGCCCGTCTGGCTCCATCGAGCTTGGGGAGCAATGCGGTCAACTCATGCATCAGGTGGAGAACTTTTATATCAAGGCTTACGCCATGCCCGATCAGGACGCCTCGAGGTTTAAAGGGAGATCTGATAAGTATGGTCGGTAGTGGCAGGTTGCCTTGCAGAAGCACGTGGCAATGCAAATGGCGAACCCGCTTGCAAGGCCTGGTAGAGCTGAGGATCCATTCTGATACTGTGGAGCCTGGCCTGCAGACCGTTAGGGCTCCCAGGGCTCTGTGGAGTTCCAAATGGGGTCGTGGCCCTGCTCGTGGGTGCGAACGATGCAGGTTGCCTTGCAGGCGCATGCAACTGCTGCGCCTGGGTGCGCCACGGGTCGTTCGCATACAATCTGTCGTTAGGCGTGATCCCGTTGGGTGTCATACCAGACAGATCATCGCTCTCGGCTTGAGTCCATGACCCATCTGAGCCTCCCGCAGGTGTTCCTGCTAGGTATGCCTCTTGGATCATGCAAGTAGAGGCATGTTCTACCTCTTGCGTAGGTGCCGACGCAGGGACCTTGAGGTTGTAGGGGGACCGCGGTACCATTCATCCTCTCAATGTTGATGCAACGAAGGGCACTCATAGCAACTCCTCGGAACATTCGTAGTTGCACGTTGGTTGCCCTGCTGGCTGTCTTCGATGCGCAGAAGATGGTGCCGCACCTGTCCAGCTCGATCGTGCATGCGCTGGACATTGTTAGGCCTGATGCCGATGAGCTGGATAATGTGGCTTGGCGGGGTCCTGGCGTCGCAGCCTGACGACATAATAATGTCGTTGGCAGAGCGCCGAATCTGGACGCTGTCGCGAAGTAAATTCTTGAGGCTCACCATAAACAACACTTCGGACTCAATTCGCAGGCCGGATGGGGTCCGCCCATCTCCGGGGAAGTATTGGCATCCGTGAACAAACTGCCAGCCTTTGTCCTGTGGGGTGTCCCTACTGCGGCCTGACAGACCGACGTGGAGTATGTTCGGGATATTCACCCACTTTGTACCGTGAATGAACTAGCAGGGTGCTCCTGGCGCTGTCAGGTCTGTTACTCGTGCGTATAGGGACTCTGGGCATTTAATGCCTGGACTGCTATGCCCATTGCTAGGGCGCAAGAAGTACGTCGGGTGAGTTCCCCCGGTGATTTTGAGTTTCTTCATCTGGAGCCTGTTTTTCTGCATACCTGAAGAGTCGATCATCCCGCAGAGGTCGAGCACCGCCAGTGCCTGATAGGCCCAATGCCAGCCTCGAAGGCTCTTCTTAATTGCGCCCAGGTGGTGACGGTGCCAGGTCTCCCTGTCTGCGGGCGGCCAGCTTTCCAGCAAGTCTCCGAATTCTACCCTACCGTCGTGCTCGTCATATGAGGTGGCGCATCTGATGAACCGGTCGGAGAGCCCATCGCTGTAGAATGGCTTATGCCGCGTAGCCGTACTGAGCCAATCTGAGTATTCGCGATTGTCGGATTCGCTCAATAGCGTCGAGCCGAGATGCTCATCCCGCAGAACTTGCATAGTATATCCCCTCTCGGATTGGTAACTGAGGGCAGGTTCCTTCCGCAAGACATTGCGGGCACGCTGACGTGCAAGAGCATCGCCGCCAGCTTATGCAGCGGCACAGTCGATGTCACATTGCACCACTCTGTAGCGTTCAGACCCGTCAGAGGCAAAGGGGCCTGTGCGCTGATTTGAGCTCCATCTGGTTAACAGTGCCCAAGGTCTCCCAGTGTCGCCTGCTTTCTTCAGGCAGTTCAGGAGAAGTAGCGGGTTGCCCCGCAGGAGCAGCGGCAGGTTCAGCAGGTGACCTCGCCGGCTCAGGCGCTGCAGGCGCTACTGATGAGCTGGCGCTCCCAGATGCCTTTGCCTTCTCGCGGACGTCGCGGTATTGGGATGTGGAAATTGTGGGGGCCGCCCCTGGTGCCTTTGCGGTCGTCTGCAACAGCTGAGCATCCGCGCCGCCCTTCGATGGGGGAGCTCCTTTGGATGATCCATCCAATGACGGCGCCCAGCCAGGCCCCCTTATGGACAGGGCCAGGCGTCGGGCCGCGGAGGGATCCAAGATCCTTCGGCTTGGGCGCGCTGTCACCTCGGAACGCTGCTGCTGCTGCGGCTGCTGCGGGTCCTCTGGGGCGCTGCCTGTGTGCAGGTTTCCCCGCAGATCTTCGGGGCTTGTTGCTTCCAGGATCAGCGTCAGCCGAACCTGTCCTTTTCTTATGTTTGGCCGGTTGTTGATCGGCTGCAGGTGACATTGGCGTTCTCGGAGTTGGGGATCGATCAGTATCCTTTTTTCCGATTTCTTCTTTGGGGACTTCGGGTCCTTTGGCGGTTCCTCTGCGGGTGTCCCCGCAGGAGATGGTGCTGCAGGTTCCCCCGCCTCGGGGGCTTCTGGCTAGTCTTGTGAAAACGGGTCGTTTAGCTTGAAGAGTGACATGTTCTTGATCTTGGCCCCAGTTTTGCAGCCCGGGTCGTATCTGTCAGCGCTGACTCGTCGCAGCGCAGGGGTAGTTGTCCATCCTATTTCTCTGCAAGTGTAATGGGCTGTCGAACCTGGGGCAAGATCCATGTCTTCTGTTGCCCGCTTGGAGACATCTAGCTTTGTGATCGTCTTGTTGAAGTTGTCAGTCTCGTAGGTGTACTCCGACTCGGACTCAGAATCAGACTTGGAAAGGGCGGCATCAGTCGGATCCACCGCTTCAGCAAGAGCCGGGTTGCCAGCTCCTTCATCACCCTCTGGAAGGCCATGAGACGAAGAAACAGGTTGCCCCGCACGTGGTGTCTCAGCCGCCTCTCCATGGTATTCTCGAAT